ACCTGAAGTTAGCAATGAGCCTGGTAGATAGCTGGAGTCAAGTAAAAATGACAGGAATTTACCTTGCCTATAACACTAAAACCATTTTCCCTGATATTCTTTATAAAACTACCACTATCAATCAGATCATCTATGCTCAGTTAAATTTACCCTGCGAGCAACAAAAACCTTATGTATTAGTTTGTTAACTTTCTCCTCCTTTATTTAGAAATACAGTGTAGTTGGGGGAGGACAGTGGTAATTCCTATAGGCTCTCTAGGGCCATTTCATGACAGGTTAATGAGTATTTACTGTGTGTCTACACTATGCCCATCTGCAATTTGACCAGATATTTTTAGTATTTCTGTTTTAGTTTGTTAAATGATCCATGTGTGTATCTGAGCAAGTTAAATTTCTCTAATAACAAGTAACCTGAGTTCTATTTTGTTAAATAATGTTGTCTTTTCCCATGAAGCAGAAACTCTACCAAATTATTGAATAATTTCCAAAAATTACCCCAGTTCACTATGCATTAGAATAACCACCTGTTATTGAAATATTCTACTGCATCTCATTAAAATGAGGTCTATTTTTTTTTACCAAGTGTAGGTAGCCCTTATATTAGTAAAATAATTAATTATCATTGTGATGCAATTTCAAACAAATTTTCCCTAAATACTGAGAGTGGCATCTTAATAGAATCAGAGCAGAAGAAAACTCAGGTTGCAACCTGCCAGGTTTACTATTGAAATTATTCTTTGCTTTATTATTGACAAAGCAATTGTCATATAATAATAGCTATATGTAGATTGGTTAGTATGTAACTCTAATTGGTGAATATAATCTAAAGGTAGGCTAACTAGGTGAGAAAAAACCTGATAGATTCTGAGTTCCCATTTAGATTACATGTATACAGCCATCAAGTAATTTTTTTAAAATAACAAGTTCGCTTTTAACTAAAAGTCATCATTTTAATAGTATCAACAATCATAAATATCTGGCTTGGCTCTTGCAGTTCAGAACTTTGCTCAGTTTTTGCTTAAGTTATACAAAAACTGAATCATGAATAAAAAAGATTTATAGCCTGGCCGGCATGGCTCAGTGGTTGAGCATCGACCTATGAACCAGAAGGTCATGGTTGATTCCCGGTCAGGCACATGCCCAGGTTTCAGGGTCAGTCCCCAGTGTGGGGCATGCAGGAGGCAGCCAGCCGGTCAATGATTCTCTCATCATTGATGTTTCTATCTCTCTCTCCTTCTCCCTTCCTCTATGAAATCAATAAAAAAAATATTTTTTAAAAAGATTGATAAAGCATGAGCTACAGAGTTAGATTTCTGGTCCAAATTCTCCCCACTAGGTATTAAGTGGGTGACTTGAACAAGATAATTCACCTATGTGAGCATAATTTTCTTCCTCTGTAGAATGGAGATAATACTCACTCGCCTGTTTCTTGTGAGCACTGGTGATCACAATGGGAAGAAAAGCACAGAGCACCATCCCAGCACAGTATGTTAGTTATTTTAATATAAAATGCTCAAGTTCACAGTGATGGGAAGTAAATATACAATACTTATTAGTTGAATGAATGAATCAGAAAATATAGGCTAGGATTCAATGGCTGTAGACAGAAGGGGGGATACACTACTTTTGAAAAAGCCAGCTTATCTCTGAAGTTCAGAATTATATAAGGGATTATTCAGCTAGTTATTATCTAAACAAACAATAGAGAACATTCAGAACAAGTGAAACATGCTTGGAAAGACTGACATCCTGTCAGAGAAGAAGTGTCACCATGACAACAGAAAAGATTTCTGTCCATACTTCTGTCCAGAAGGAGAGGCTCTCTCCGAAGGAAGACAGACTGCACAACAGGGGCAGGTTTCCCAGTCAGTGACCTGAGCACCATCATCTCAGACACAAAACTGATCTCCAGCTTCTTGGCATGGGCTAGCTTTTTTTTCTATTGAAAGTAAGTTGGTAATGACACTAAGCAGTTCTTAGCTCTGGTATTATCATAAATCTCTAAAGTATTTAGATCCTTGTCCCGGAGACCAGAAGAAATTGGAAGAGGAGAGATGGAATGGAATAGAAACAAACAAAAAGGATGAATTAAAAGCCTCATATAAGGGAGATATTATTACCTAATCTATATGGCTCTACAGAGGCCTAAATAATGACTTTTAAAGCTCCTAGCAGTCACTGGCACTCAGTAACTACTCAACAACTGTTAATCATTGTTATAACTACTATGTGGCTTAATACACACAAGCCTTGTTCAACCTCACCCCATTCTGCTTCACCCCACAAACTATAGGCAACAAATACAAAAAAGAAAAGAAAAAAATGTTAAAACAAAATAAAGGTATTTTTAATAAATAAGTCCAATTACAGTATAGTTACGTGTGAACTCCAATGGATTTTTACTACATATTTGCTGCAATATATGCCCATGAATATGTGTTGCATTGAACTAACGTAAATATCCATCATAAACTATGCCCAATTTCAGGCTTTGTGACTATTTTAATCTTTCCTTTTTTCAGTTCAAGAAGAAACTCCCTTCCATAATCATCAAACTATCATTCTGAATCACTCTTTAAAAGCATTATCTGCAATGAGATAATAATATTCCATGTACGTAGTTATCATTGCAACATACTGTCTGCTTTAAATCATTATCACAGTGAAAAGGCTTTGAGAAGCAATCCATGGCAGCAGTGAGAAAATCTTCAGAGCAGGAAGGGGTAGCAGAATCAATGACTGCCCTGGGGAGGGACCACACTTGCCAATCACCTGACAATGTTACGTAGTTTTTAATAAAGAAAATGTTTGCTTCTTTTGTTGCCCACACTTGCTAGATTAAGATACCAGTCTCACCCTAGCTGGTTGGTTCAGTGGCTAGAGCATTGGCTTGTGGACTGAGGGTCCTTAGTTAGATTCCAGTCAAGGGCACCTGCCTGCGATGCGGGCTCAGCCCCCAGTAGGGGGCGTGCAGGAGGAAGCCAGTCAATGATTCTCTCTCAACATTGATGTTTCTCTCTCTCCCTCTCCCTTCTTCTCTGAAATATATATACATTCTAATATATATATATTTTTTCTGCCATACTAGCCTTTTGGTTTCAAACTGTTTTATAAATTTTTTCACGTAATGAATTGAAAATCCCTAAATACTGTGTTGTTCATGCCTTGGTCTGACTGGAGAAGGGGGAGGGAAACAGGATTAAATCGAAGCATTTGGGTGCCTCCACTCATTTCATCCAGGAACTTTGAATTGTCCATCCTCAGTGATGATAGGAGGTGACTGTGATACTCTTCTTCCTTATTTTTAAGAGTATAACAATTCCTAAATTAACTTCATGATAATAAGGGGAGCAAAGCATATGTGAATGTACTAGAACATGTCTCAGTAGCAGCCAAGCGCAGGGGCCAAATCCAGCTAATCATCATCAGGAGAGAAATCTAGAATAACTAAACCCAGGAAATGAGTTCCACAGCGCAAATGTGAAAGGCGCTAAACCTTGAGAAAGATCCCATCACTGTTATCTGAGGGCATGAAGCAAACAGGATGGAAACAAAGGGAGAAGACAGAAAGTTCCATTACTCAAACTCCCCCTACAAAGTTAAAGTTAGTCTCTGAAAATTAATCTAAGATATCAATAATGAAAACTCTTAGAAAGTTCAAAGAAATCTTGATATCTAATATAGAATTTTACCTTGATAACTATGTGGGAAAGGGCGATTTTAATTTTCATTTAAATGCAAATACTTGAAAACTAGTTCTGCAACTAATTAGTAAACTCTTTAAACTCAGTAAGTTGTCACCTTCATAGATGTTAAACACTTTATATTTAAGTAGGCAAATAATTTGTGGGAAAGGTATCCAAAAAAAATTCTAATGTCCTATATTCCATTGTTGTTGTTAGGTGAAATAATAAAGATCTACTTCCTCTTGTAATTATTCAAAATGCTGCAGTAAAATTTCTCCCTATTGGTTCTAATGAGAGAATAAAAGCATAAACCACTGTTAGCACCAATCACAGGGGTTCAAGTAACACTGTGTAATGTAATAACAAAATCAGGCCATTTTTGTGCAGAGCTATTACATTGACCAATGAATTCAGAGCCAACAATTGATTTGACTTTTTGCTTTCCAATTTGGCTAGCTCTTTCACCACAGGGACTTAATCAACCAAGCATCTCAGAATCATACTCAGGAAAGGTGTCATCAGCCCATATCCAATCCTTTCCTTAAATAAAAAAAAAATAAAAAAATAAAAAAATCAGGAAATATGGCCAAATTAGATAATGCATTAATAATAATTGAAATGAAAATCTACTAAAATTCTTCTTAAAAAGTCCACTCTCCATGAACATGAAAGGATAAAAGTAGCCCTTGGCACCAAAAACAAACAAACAAACAAACAGAAACACAAACAGCTATGATCCCTCATCTATGGTTAGAAAAGGTTAAGAACACAATTCCTACACTGGTCCTGATTTCCCATCAAGTGACTGAAGGCATTTAATTCATTGCCTGAACCCATTTGACTGGTGCACGTGGAATTCTTAAAGATATAAAGGGAAGAAAAAAAAAAAAACATAGAAAAAAAGGAGTAAGAAAAAATATTTTCAATCTTGTATAAATGGTTAATGAATAGGCCAGAGGAAATCAAGGTACACTTCGCTGACATTTTCCTTTACTTATATAAAGAAGACACAGAAGAGCAGTGTAAATGCAGAAATAAGCCCCAAATCTGTGAAAGTAAAAATAGTTTGTTCCAGTGCTTATAAAATAAATAGATTGCCTTTACTATTACAGTATATTCATCAATACTTCGGGAACTTCCAACTTTCCTATACAACTGAACAAACGAACAATCATAACTCTGCCATGGATTCACACTGAGGAAATATAACCCTTGCAAGAAAATTCACAAGAAGAAAATAAAGATGCTTCATTTTACAGTTAGAAATAAAATTTATGTTCTTTCCATTCACTAGGGGAAAATGAATGTATTTTTAGCCTAAATAGTACTATCAGCATTAAGTCAAATTTAAATTCATTTCTCAAGACAGAAATCATTTAAAATACTTCAACTTCCAATTTTACAGTAGATGCCTTTGTCTGTTAGTTGGTGCACAGTTGAGTGCATTAGCACATGTGAGTGTGAGTTGCTTTATGAATTCCTAATGGTGTATTCAGAGTTCTTAAGGCCATGCCTGAGAATAGGACCTCATCTATAGACACAAGAAAATCAAACATTACTTTGAAATAACACTAAGAATCTGACACAATGCAATAAAAGCCAGTGATCTGACAAATAAAGAAATTCGGCAAATCTCTACCGCCTCTTCTAACCGAATGGTTGCAGATTTAAAATGGAGAACAACCTGCTTTTTGCTACTGCCTCAAATTTGTTTTCCTTTGATGACTATTTATTTTGTTACCTCATTCATATTATTCAAATAGGTTTTTATATGTCTTATTCTTTCCTTTACAGAAAAAACTTTAAAAAACAAAACAAAACAAAACATGTAATATCAGTTCATTACTTAGGCAATCTCTCTGGAAAAATGGGTTATATAGAAGTGTTGATGTCATTTACATGTGTAGTTTCCCTTGAATATATCTATCTTCCTGGCACCATGAGTCACCTCCTAGTAGAAACTCTGGCCTTTTGATTAAACACTCTGAAGTGCATTTCAGACAACGTTGTAGAATCATTAGACTCTAACAGCATTCTAGGAACTGCTTCATTTCATAATTCAAACTCCTAGGCATATGGAACCCTTTCTGAAATAAAGATTTCCTCTCAAATAATAGAGAATGTACACAAAGTAAGCCACTTTTCAAAAAATCTTGCCATAAATAAGATTATATATAACACTGACAAGCTTAACCTGTCTCAGTCATAAGTCTATAAAGCGTAAATCAAATGACATGAAAAACTATATTTTTCTATTGTTGTTTGTTATGTGTTTCTCACTTTGGAATCCCCATATTGAGGGACAGGTGAATCTAAAATTTTTTATAACAAAGGTAAAATCTCTGAAAAATCAAGATTTTGTGTAAGAAACAGACTCCTACCAAGACAAGGCAGAACCAATGCTCTGGAACAGCAACATAATAGTTTTGTATATTTGTTTGTTTGTGTATTGAGAGCCAGAGAACCCATATAAAACAAAAACAAAATTGCTGCAGGTAACAACACATAAAATATCAATAGTTTGGGGACAGTTACCATATTTAGCTATAAAACCAGGTTATGAACAGATTATAAAATGTTAACAGCTGAATAAACTGTAAAATATGCATTATCTACACATGAAAAAGTGACAGTTTATAAATGCTGAATTGTTGGGTCTGTTGGCATTTAAGACATCTTTCCCCAGTCCTGATTTCTGCATGGGGTGGGAAAACAACAAAAAAGAAAAAACCTGCCCTAACCGGTTTGGCTCAGTGGATAGAGCTTTGGCCTGGGAACTCAAGGGTCCCAGGTTCAATTCTGGTCAAGGACATGTACCTTGGTTCTGGGCACATCCCAAGTAGGGGGTGTGCAAGAGGCAGCTGATCGATGTTTCTAACTCTCTATCCCTCTCCCTTCCTCTGTAAAAAATCAATAAAATATTAAAAAAAAAAAAAAAAAAAAGAAAAAAAAAAAAAAAAAAAAGGAAAAACCTACTCTGCTGAGCATTTTTCTCCCCAAGCAAATGATCAAATCAAAACTCTTCTTTCTTGTCCTAGTGGTAGATATTTACCTATTTGCATATCCAGCAACTGAAAGTAGGAAAATGTTCTGCCAATCAGTGATGCCCTCTGCCCATCAGGTAAATACCTGTTCTGGTTGTTTGGGGGTGTTTTTTTCTCCCAGCTTCCTAGGTGTTTTCCATAAACCCAAGGGTCTTCCCTGTCCTCCCCCCCGCCCCCATCCTGGAAGGGGAAGCGGAAGGGAAGGATCATGGAAGAGGAGGACTCTTCTGGTTCTTGCAGTGGCTCCTCCAGACCTCTTCTGCAGTGGCTCCTCCAGACCTCTGGACCCTGGCATGGCCAAACATCCTGGCCTGACACTTACTTCGGTTTGGTTAAGTCCCCTTTCTGCAAAGGCAAGTAAAGATGACTTCCAAGTACTCAGTGCATTAAAGAAAAAATATATATATATATTTTTAAGAAGAAAAAAAAAAAAGTGCTTGAAAAAAATTCCCAGGGACTTATCTTGGGGAGGACAATCCCATGTGCAGTGTGGATCCCTTCTTAGTGTGCCCTGCCCTAGCCGGGAGAGACCCTCGGTCCAGGCTCTGTAGCAGAGTGGGTCCTAAAAGCCTTTCTTTAGGAAAAAGCAAAACTTATTTTAGTGGTTTCCAGGGAAAAGTTGTATTCCTTGACACGTGGTCCATCCATCTTGGCCTCAGAGACCTCACAACTTTTTGGCACTGTCGTGGCTCACTGCTGCCCGGATGGTGGTCCCAGCCACCCCTCGGTTGCTGACCCTGCGGACGAGCACTTTGGACACGGGGATTTTTGTTCTGGGCACCTCGCTCCTGGCCGGTTGCTGGTGCGCCACAGGATGGCTGGATGGGAGGTTGGCGAGGTGCTTGACGCTGATCGGAATCTTAGAGTCCTTCAGCAAACTGCCTGGTGTCCGCAGGGGGCAGGTGATGGTGCCCGGAGACACGGGCTTTAACCTGGACACACTGGACGCCTCCTCGTTGGCAGGAGGGGCTGCTGGGCTTCCATCCGGGTCCGCGTAGAGGTCGTAGAGCGCGTCGCCGCTATAGCTGTCCCTGGGGATGGCCGCCTTCTTCCCGCCGCTGCTGCCCGTGCCGTCCTCCTCGGGGCCTGGAGTGGTGGAATCCCAGTAGCCCTCGTCACTGTTGGGGACCCCTTCTTGCTGCTCCTTCTGCAGGTGCTTAGGCTCCTCCTTGGGGTGGGCCTCGATGGGAATGCGGTTGAGCCTCCTGCGCTTGACCGAGGACACTTCCTTGGCAATTTCCCCCCTGGCGTCTTTGGAGACCTCGGGAGCCGTCTTGGCGTCCAGGGCTGCTGCGGCGGCCTTAGCCAGCCCCTCCTGGGGCCCCTGTCCTTGGTCCTCCGTCTGGGAGAGCATGTCCCAGAATTCCTGGAGACAGGTGTCATCCACCCCATCCGGGCTCGCCATCTCCTCCCCGCCTCCTTGGTAGGCCACCACGCTGGGGTTCTTTTTAGAGGCCACCGGCTTGCCTGTCCCGGGGGCATGCTTGTCACAGCTGGGGCCTGCCTCGTCCTCCTGGTCTGCAATAATATCTCCACAGCCTGTAAGAGAGTCAAAGCTTTTCAGTGAAGTCACGTCAGAAAACATCAAACAAATACGATCGGTCGATGGGTCTGAGGGCGGATCGACAGAGGAAGGGTCAGGGACGGCCGACGCCCGGCCGCCGCCGCAGTCGGAGTCGACAAGGGGGACGGTCTGTGCCGGCGCGCCGCCCGTCCTGGAAGCGTCCGCGGCCGTCCGCACCTGCCCAGCGCCCCGCTCGGGGGGTGCCCGGGCGTCCTGGGCGCGCCGGCGCCCCGCGGCGTCCTCTCCCGGCGCGGCGCTGGCGGCGGGGACGCCGGGGCCCTCGGCCTCTGGGCAGCGGGGCCCTTCGGGGCGCTCGGCGGGGGCGGGGGCCGGCGCCGGCTCCCCCGCTCCTCCGGGCTCACCTGCTGGCTCCGGCGGCGCGTCCCCGCGCGGGCTGTCCGGCGCGCGCGCGGCTCGGGGCGCTTCCTCCGCGACGCACTCCAGGCTGGCGGTGAGCGACCCCGGCGGGGCCAGGCCCAGGCCCCCCGCGCGCGCCCCCTCCTTGGCGCGCTTGTCCTTCCTGTGCCAGCGCACGCCGCTGAAGAGCCCTCGCAGCCCCCTCTTTTGTTTGCCGCCAGCCTTGCCGGCGTCCGCCGCGTCCCCTCGGCCGTGCTCCGGCCGCCCGTTCTTCTTCAAGAGGGAGAAGAAGCTGTGCGACTTGGCCACCGAGCCGCCGGCCAGCGAGCCCGCGCCGGGCCCGGCCGCCCTGGGGGGCGCGGGGGTCGGCCGGCCCCCGCCGCCGTCGCCCCCTCCGCCGCCGCCGCCGCCGCCGTCCACCCCGCCGCGCGGCTCCTCCTTCCGGCCGCCCTCCAGCACCGCCACCTCGGCCAGGCCGTCGTGGGTCCGGCTCCTCACCATGCCCGGCGGCGGACCCGCGCCTTTCCCGTCCCCTTTGTTTTTGACCCCGAATATGCTGGGCATGGTGCCGCCCGATTTCCTCTTCTTGAATAATTTGAAGGCGGCTTTGTTGATCTTCCCCGACGGCGGCTCGGAGGCCGGCGTGCCGGCGGCACAATCGCACGGCAAGTCCATGTCTGCCGCCGCGAGGGTCCCGGCGCCGGCCGCCTCCTTCCGCCCGCGGACCCCCGCCGCCGCGCCGCCGCCGCGCGCGCTGACAGCCCCGCCGCGGCCGCGCTCGCCCGTCTCCATGGAAACCGAGCGGGAGCAGCAGCTTCCGTCAGCCGTGGGCTCGCGCCAGGCCGCTGTCATCCGGATTCTAAATCAACCTGGCCACTCGGTGCTGGTGCTGCTGGTGCTGCTGCTGCTGCTGCTGCTGCTGCTGCTGCTGCTGCTGCTGCTGCAACACACAGAAAAGGAAGGGGGGGGGGGGGGGAAGCACATTTCCCCGCCCGCCTGGGGCTTATATAACACCCTAACCCACTAAGGATCCATCAGACTCGGCTCTGCGCTGTACGGTGTGCGGGGGAGGGGGAGGGAGTGCCAGAGCAGGCAGCAGAGCCCTGAGCTGACTGCAGAAATTAGAGTCGTCATTATGGAATTCAAATCCCATCCAATCTTACCCACCTTCAGATTCTGCCTCCAGATTTACTCTTTCACAAAATGCCCCCCAAATGGACAAAAAAAAAAATTTTAAAAATCCAAACAACACAAAATACTTAGTCTTATTACCTATCCTGGACTCCATAAATCTTTGTGCCTTTCCCAAGCCCTGCTTGTGTGTCCTTAACATTTGGGCGCCAAGCCCATCAGACATGGAGCTTTACATCCTTGTCTTGTCCCGAGCAGAGCACATTTCCGGATGTTGAAATCTCATTGTTGTTGCTGTCCTGATTCTTGCTGCAAAGACAACAGCCATCAAATACCCATTAGCAGCTCTCTGCAAGGAAAGTGCAACAGTTCCGAGGATGGAAGTTGACTGGTCCTTTGGGACAAGCCTGGCTTTTATCCCAGACTCCTGCTACTGGGGCTGAGGTCACAGAATCCACTGCCCAGTCAGTCTGCATGTGGTCGCAATGGAGTGAGCTGAAGATGGAATCTCAGGTCCCCTCCAGGGGTGGTGCTTGGAATCCAGAATCTACCCTCTTTTCCATCCAGCAGGTCATGGATGTTACTTTTGACCTTGTTCCTGCTACCTCCTTCAATATTCATGTCCATTCTGCAGCTGCCTTCCCCTAGAGCCCGTGAGTCTCTGCAGCTACTGGATCTGAGAAAAGGAAAACTATCCCAGGGAACCGCCCAATCTGGAAATCTCTTCTCTGTGCTACTTGCATTATACCCAGAAACCCTAGTTGCTATATCAGTTGAGGCTGAAGTTTGCTAATAACCTGTTGGCCATTGCATGGAACAGTTGGTTTGAATTTTGGCCTTGGGGTTATTATCTATATACTTGCCCTTTCCTGCTGATTTTTATCAAGAACACTGTTTCATAAAATTAAGAAATCAGTGAGTTTAGGTTCAGGAAAGGTTTTTATTCCCAGCCTTGGAACCCCATCAGCTCTCTCCCACTCTTAGCCGGCACCTCCCAGACGAGAGAGAGAGGCTCCCCCCAATTCTAGCTGACCACTCACCATGACAAACCAGGTGCCTCCCTGCCTTGGGGGGAGATCAGGTGTTAGGAACTATAAAGAAAACTCATTTGTTATCTCTCCACAACCTTTTGAGACAGTTGAAATTTTTTCCCATTTTTTTATACACACCATACAATTGCTTAGCTATGTGGGTTACTCCATAGCTGTGTCGTCTAGGAGAGTTTGTGCCTGGGATCCAGGAAAACGCAGGAGTCTATAAATATCTCCCCTCCTCCAGCCCAGAGCGGAGAGCTGGGAGAAGGTGAACCTGCCCCTCCACTAGGAGCTCCGACCTAGCAGGGCGGGTTATTTGCATGAGAATCCTTGAGCCCCTGGGGAGAAAGTTGGCGAGGACTTAGGGATGAATATCATTCCCAGGGGACATAGACATCCAAACAAAGAGAACCGGACAAAGCAGTCTTCATTCTGGGGAAGGTGCGGGTGGCAACGGGAAGTCACTGGCCCGGAGGTAGAAGAATGTGAGGATCCCTGAGACCATCAAGACTTGGAGGCACAGGCAGGGGGAGTTTAGAAGCTGTCGTGTGAGTGGGGACCCTTCTGTGTCCTCCAACCCCAGGTCCTTTCTATAGAGACTATCATAGAAAAGCCAGTTTACAAGGACCTTTCCAGAAGAACCCTACAGTGCCTCTCGGCCCCACCCCAGGGGCGGTGGGGGTAGGGTAGGGGAGGACGGGGGGAGGGTTTCACTCAAACTTCGGGTGGCAGATTGATGTAAAAGGCTATTGTTAGAAACCAGTGCAAAGATTGCTCTTCACTGCCAGGCATGGGGAAGCAGATTGCATTTGCACAAAATGGTGATTTCTTTTTCCCCCAAAAAGACATCATGACAGTGAAAAAATTTTACCAGAAGCGCCTCCTGTTTTGGGTTACAGTTTCATCTTTCATTCTTCTCTCCTCTCCTGCCACTGCCCCACCCTGCCCCACTTTAAACAGCGGACAGAAAATGTGAGTAGAAATGGCTAGAGAAAGGGGCTGAGGGGAACTGCTTCAGGAAAAAGCTGTTCTGAAATGACAAGATGCTTCACAGATGCAGACAGCAAGCGGGCTCTGCTGGAGACATGTGCGTGCTTTCCTTTTTGGCACAAGGGAGGGTTTGTTGTTCAGCTGGGCCTTTCTCTCTGGGAAGCTAGTGTCTCTGGAGGAGGATAAGCAAAGCAAGAAAAGAAAAAAAAGAAACACAGGAGGAATAATAGAAGCTTATCACCATCTATTCCTTTTCCAGGATGTCTTCAGCCAGTGTGGCCCCTGCCTGTGTCCTGAGCCCTCTGAGCCGAATGTCCTGGCTGAGGGAAACCACTCAGAACCTAATGGGCAAAGGCGTGGTGAGCAGCTGCCGTGAGCCATGGTGTGGCTGCTGCTGTGGAACTCCCCATGTCACAGCATCGCCATAAGGAAGGCTGCTGGCTTTCCTAAAATTTGCCTGAGGTCTTTAAGGGGATAATGCTTAATCGGTGAAGTTTGGAAAGGATACTTGAATTGGGACCAACACCGCCTGTCTCCAGACCTCTCCACCTGCTCTGGACTCCAGACCAATGTAATGCCAGCTCCCTGTTCTTGCCCATCTCCACCCTCCTTGCCATGATTATCATCCAAGGCCAGTGTAGACACTGTGATGCCAGTGAGGCTCCTCAAATGTCCTCTAACCCAGGGTGCCTGCTATGAGGACTGTCAGGAAGAGCCGCTTTGCTCACCTTGACCCTCATTCCCACGTCCACTCTGTCTACCTAACTGAGGCCTGTCTTGCCCCTGAGGGAGGCTGTGGGCCTCGTACAAGCTGAGACCATAAAGTACAGTGCACAGTTGTCAGGAGAGAAGTGTGTAGATGTCCCTTGCAGGGAGCCTAGCCCAGCCGTCAATGTGATGACACTTTCCTACACCCTCTGTTCTGGAAGGCTCTAGCCCACATGTGTCAAACACAAGGCCCGCGGGCCAAATCCGTCCCACCAGGCCTTGCAATGTGGCCCGCACCGCGCTGTCATCACTGCACTTTGCTGCGTTTCCATCACAATGACAGTTTATGACTGTTCAGTAAACCATTCGGCCAGCGATTTAGGCTGGATTTTAGATTTTGGCCCCTTCTCTGATTGAGTTCGACACCCCTACTCTAGCCCAGGGTGGGCAGGGTGAGGACAAGAGAAGTCTAAGCACAATTAGCCCTGAGCTAAATTGAAGTTCCTGTTTTCTTTTGCAGATTTTGATTCCTGATTTTTCCTGCACCTCAGCTTCTCTGTGGGCTAATAGCTGTTCTGGGTGTGTTTTCTTCAGAGGAGAAATTAACTTCTAATTAGTAACATGCAAGTGTAAAAAGCTCAACACGACTTGTAAGTTTACATGTTAACCCCGAGGCACAGCTGAGGCTGCTGAGGGGAGAGCTCATCTCAGAGAGACTTTCCATGCTGGCTCTGGGGTGGGCGGGAAGCCCCGGACCTGAGGTGTTCTGGTTCAGCAGGTGTCACCACTCACAAGATGTCACTTGGCCTGGCCCCAGGAGTGTGAACTTGAATCCTAGGGCAATGGGGTGGGCAATAAAGGACCAAATAAAGGCAAAATGAGCATTTCTCTGTAATGCTGGGGCGGGGGTGGGGGAGGGCACAGGCCATGCAGCAGCTGGCGGGGCTGGCACCAGGCAGTCTCCATGCCTCCCTGCCAGCTTCTGTTTCATGCCAGCAATGCTCAGTTTCTGCATACATCCTTCCAAACTCTACCGTTGTCTTCACATGATGCTCTCCCCCACCCCCCGCCCATGTCTATCTTACAAGGACAACAATCATATGGGATTGAGGGCCCACTCCATTCCAGCATCATCTTTTTTCTCCCGTTTTTTAAATTAAGGTATTATATGTGTACCTATCTTACCATTGCCCCCCCGCACTTCACTCCCATACATGCCCTCACCCCCCAGTGTCTTGCGTCCATTGGTTATGCTTATATGCATGCATACAAGTCCTTCCTGTTGATCTCTTATCTCCCCCATCCAGCATCATCTTGTCTTAATTTACATCTAGACACATCTGCAAAGACCCTATCTTCAAATAAGGTCACATTCACAGGTACCAGGGGTTAAGATGTGATATATTTGGGGGCACACAATTAAATGCCCAACTAGCATCATTGCCAACAATGGAGTCAGCACTTCACCTTCATTCTTTCAATGCAGTCAGCAGTGCCCCCGGCACAGACATTAATGTTGGTGGGTTCAAACTTGCTCCAGCAGGTTTCAAGGTCATGGATGGCACTTCCAGGTTGTCAGCAATGAGAGGACAGTATCAGTGCCAGCCAGAGTAAACAAGAAGGAAAGTGGTGGTCGCCAAGAGGACTAGATCTTGGATTACATATCTCTCCCAAGATTGCCCGGGAGGAACGTCAAGGTGATGTCAGAGTTCCCATGTAGTGGATAGGATACAGCAAAAGAACCACTGTGGATATTGTAAGTCAGAGTGGCCTGAGAACCATGTTGCTTCATAATCACTGGTCTGCTATTTGACTAGAGCTACCCTTACAATATACTCTCAAGCTGCAGACTGAGCTGGGGTCTCTTCAATCTGTCAGCACCAGCGTGGGCATAGGGAAGCCAAAAACGGAGCAGCATGAGGTCAGCTAGCAGAGGGCATGTGGAGAGGATGCCAGGGCTGTGGGCATGGATGAATGCACAACAGGGAGCAGCCAGACCCTGCAGTAGGGATCGGCTCATCCCAGCAGGGATGCAAAGCAGAGCTGAGTCCAAGAGGAGGGCCCACAGGTGTCAGTGAGTGGGCAAGGTGCAGGAATTCAAGGGTGTGAGCCTGGCGGGGGCTGTGGAAAATGACCCAGAGCCCAGGGACCTGCTCCCTTGGTGTACTTTTGCTCGTTTTCGAGGAACTCTATTCTGTATCTGCTTCTTGACATGCAGCAGCAAGTCTGAACAGCCCTCCCAGCAGGTAGTGTGTGTCGCTAAGTCCCTAAGGCAGGCCCTCTGCCTCGGTTCCTCCTTCCCGGTGGTCTCCAGCCACAGGAGCAGGCTGCTGTGGGTCTCATATCCTCTCCTTGAACCACGAGACCTTCTGGATCGCTGGCTCCCTTCCTCGGTTACTTCAACCTCAGTCTCAGAGACATAAGAAAGTCCCCTTGCTCTCCCACACCACTCTGGCTCCGTCCCTGCCCCATGCTGTAGCATTCTCTCTCCTGTCCCTGCCATGATGGTACAGGAAACATGATGGTACAAAGCTCAGACAGACAGAAGAATTGTCCTTTTTGCTCTCAGCCACTCAAGCCCCTGGAGGGGAGGTGTTCCCCCCCCCCCCCCCCCCCACCCTTTGGAGCTAACCCAGGCAGAGGCGCAGGGAGCAGAGCCCCTTCCCAAAGACCTTCTGTACTCTTTCTTCCTCTCCAACTTCCATTCACCAGAGTGTTGGGGTCTGAAGTAGTCTGGGCCAATAACAAAAACACCTACACGATCTTTCAAATGTATCGCTTACTTTGGGAGCTTGTCTCTTGAAGTTTAAAGACCCTGTTTTAAGCAAATTAAAAAAATTTAAAAACCACCTTATAGGTTAGAGCAGACAGCTAGCAGACTCTGCTGCTGACCAGACAGCAGGAAAAGCACTTCCTATCCCCGTGGTTCCCTTCCCTTCGTGTCCCCCTCCCGCAGGTGGCACAGTAGATCCCAAGACCTCTGTGTTCCAGGTCCCAGCTC